TCGACCCCGCGGGCTCAGGCAATCCACTCACCTCAGCCTCCCAAAGGCGCGGGATTACAGGCTGAGCCACCGAGCCCGGCTTATAAAAATTATTTTAAAATTAGCCAGGCATGGTGATGTGTGCCTGTAGTCCCAGCTACTGGGGAGGCTGAGGTGGGAGGATCACTTGAATCTAAGAGGTTGAGGCTGCCGTAAGCCGTGATCATGCTACCGCACTCCAGCTTCAACAAGAGAATGAGACCTTGACTCAAAAACAAACAAAAAACAACAAAAACGAGAATTTGCCTCACTCAGAAAAGGCATTGTTGTGACATCTAGGAGGTTAGTCTAGGTGTGGTAGCACCGTCAGCTGCTGGGTCTGAGGTTGGTGCGCTCTCCAGTCATAAGTGTACTGGTTTTCAAATAAAGACACAGAAGAGGATGACAAATAGCCTTTTAAACTTAAAACAGATCAGCATATAATTTGTGGGGAGAAGCCAAAGGATACACAGAGAGGTGAAGGAGTGCCTGGGAGTCTGGCTGAAAAGCTTGGATGCCTGGGTGCCCGGAGAGTGGCTTCCAGAGTCAGTCTTGGTGGAAAAGTTCCACCGTGGCCGGCCTGATGGACGGGCCCCAGCACCAAGGCGGTGGGGTCAGACTTGAGGAACAAACCATTGGCCCGTCCTGCTGTCAAGGGTCCCAGAGAGAGAATACCGCCGTGGTGAGACACCAGGCATCCCCAAAAGAGCAATTAAAACCCATGTTGAGAGGAGAAAATGAGGGCTTTCAAAGCATGTCACTGCCATGCTTTCTCCAGGGTCGTTCTTAACACTTAGCTGGCAGAGCCGTGGAATCGACCCTCAGCCTGGGGTCTGAAAAACTGCCCTGTAATGTGGGTTTGTCTTGTCAGGCGAGGTCCTCAGAGAGGAGGCAGGTGAGGGGCGGTGTCCCCAGCCAGAGTGTTGCTGGGGCTGAGGGGTGGGGGTGAGGGGCACTTTTACCAAAATAATAAATCGAGGACCTGACTCTGAGGTCCTTGCAGCAGAAGAAGCCACATAAAAAGGAGGGGGTGTCGGGGTCGGGGCGGGAAAGGCGAGTCCTTCGGGTAACTTTCTGCTGCGTCAACAAGACTTCTCGGTAGGGGTGAGTCAGGGGTGGGTGTAGTTGCCCATCCGCAGATTCCCCTGGCGCACGGCACACTCTTCCCGTTGGGCTCTGAACGCTCTCTGGCGATCGGCCTCCGTGGGGAACGTGTCGAGATGGGGACCCACCTGTGAATAGAAGGGGGTAGGAGCTGGGTGAGGTGAGACTGCCCTGGAGCTCGTTCTGATTACTCCTCTTCTCTCCCTGCCCACCCCCTACTTCAGTCTCAGAATAGTAGAAAAATAAGGCCAGGTGTGGTGGCTCACGCCTGTAATCACAGCACTTTGGGAGGCCGAGACAGGAGGATTGGTTGAACCCAGGAGTTCGAGACCAGAGTTGGTGACATAGTGAGACCTCATCTCTACAACAAACATAAAAACAGCTGAAACGTAAAAGTAACCAAAAAAAGTAACAACAACAAAAAAAAGATAAAAGAAAACAAAATATTTTTTTTTGAGTTGAAGTCTCACTCCATTGCTCAGGCTGGAGTGTAGTGGCAGGCTCACGGCCACCCCAGTGTCAAGCTGCTGGGCTCCGGCGATCCTTCCGCCTCAGTCTTCCGAGTAGCTGGAACTACAGGCGCGCGCTACTGCGCCCGGCTCATTTTTGATTTATTGTAGAGTTGAGGTCTTGCCAAGTTGCCCGGGTGGATCTTGAACCCACGGACTCAGCAATCCAGTTGCCTTGGCCTCTCAAAATGCTGGGATTACAGGCTGAGCCTCCAAGCCCGGCCTGAAAATTTTTCTTTAAAAAACCACAGCTAAGTGTGGTGGTATGCATCTGTAGTCCCAGCTACTCAGAAGCCCGAAGCAGGAGGATTGCTTGAGCCCAGGTGTTTGAGGCTGCAGTGAGCTGTGATTGTGCCACTGCACTCCAGCCTGGACAACATAGTGAGACCTCACCTCCACAAAAATAAAAACAGGCCGGGCTCGGTGGCTCAGCCTGTAATCCCAGCACTTTGGGAGACCGAGGCGAGTGGATTGCCTGAGCCTGCAGGTTCGAGACCAGCCCGGGCAACTTGGCAAGACCTCGTCTCTACAATACATCAAAAATTTGCCAAGTGTGGTAGCACATGCCTGTAGTTCCAGCAACTTGGAGGGCTGAGGAGGCATGATCGCCAGAGCCCAGCAGGTCGACGCTGGGGTGGTTGTGAGCGTGCCATTGCACTCCAGCCTGGGCGACAGAGTGAGACTCCAACTCGGAAATAATAACAACAATAATAATAATATGATAACAGTAATAATAAATAGCAGCGAGTGCAAGGAGTGCATGCTGTAAGCCTACAGTGAGCCAGCAAGAGCAGGCTCGGGGTGGGGTGGGGGATTGTGGGGGAAGGAGGGGGTGCGTGCTGCCCTGGGGCTCAAAGGAGCTCAAGCTCATGAAAGGGCACAGTGGGTGAGGTGGAGAGTCGCGGGGCGTGTTCCCTTTAGATCTATAGGCGCAGTTGAAGGTTCTGCAGTGGCCTCAGGATAAAGCAGGACCCATGCCTGGGATGGGTCCACAAAGTTCTTGACAAGAAAATATCCCAGCCTGGCTGGACTCAGTGGTTCACGCCTGTAATCCCAGCACTTTGGGAGGTAGGAGGATGGATGGAGTCCAGGAGTTCAAGACCAGCCTGGGCAATATAACAAGACTTTGTCTCTACAGAATATAAAAAAATTAGCCGGGTATGGCGGCATGTCCTGTAGTCCCAGCTACTCAGGAGGCTGAGGCGGAAGATGGATCACCTGAGGCCAGGAGGTCAAGGGTGCAGTGACCGTGAGCGTGCCACTGCACTCCAGCCTGGGCAAAACAGTGAGACTCTGACTAACAGTTACGATATATATATATATATATATATATATATATATATATATATATATATATATATATATATATAGTAACAGCTTTATTGAGGTATCATTGTTATACAAATCCTGCACCTATTTAATGTGTGCAATTTGATGAGTCTGAACATATGCAAACACTCATGAAACCCACACCGCAATGAAGGCAATCACCTTCAAAGTTTCCTCATGCCCTGTTGGTTTCTTTTTGTTTTTTCGGTAAGACCCCTTATTGGGGGCTCGACCCTCCTGTCAAAATGTCTGCATACACACTAAAGTGTAGGCACCACCGTGAACTCAAGGCACAGTGCTGCCCAGCAGATCTCTAGAACGTATTCATTTTCCATCACTGAAACTTTACACCCCTTGAAGAGCAACTCCACATTTCCCCTGCCCCAAGCCTCTGGCAGCCACCTCTCCACTCTGGTGTTTGTTAGTTTTTGTTTTTTGAGTCAGGGTTTCACTGCTGCCCAGGCTGGTGTGCAGTGACACGATCACGGCTTACCACAGCCTCAACCACCTGGGCTCAGGCGATCCTTCCGCCTCAGCCTCCCAAGTCGCTGGGAATACAGGTATGTACCACCACGCCTGGCTAGTTTTTAAATTTCTTTAGTAGAGACAAGGTCTTGCTTTGTTGCCTAGGCTGGTCTTGAGCTCCTCGCCTCCAAGAATCCTCCCATCTCAGCCTCCCAAAATGCTGGGATTACAGGTGTGAGCCACCGCACCCAGTCCACCTCTCGCCTCTCTTCCTCTGAGTTCCAGTGGCTCTTCACACAGGAGCATAGCTCTCCAGTCCGCCTCTCAGCCATCTCTACCCTCCTTGGCCCTTGTAGTGGGCTCAACCATCACTCCCAGAAAGCATGGTAATGACCTAACCCCCAGAACGTGTGAATGTGACCTTATTTGGAAAAAGGGACTTTGCAGACGCGATTAAGTTAAGGATCTCAAGACAGATCATCCTGCATTATTCAGGCCCTAAATCCGATGCCAAGCATCTTTCAAGGAGACGGAAGGGCCAGAGGAGACAACGGTGTGAAGACGGAGTCGCAGACTGGAGTGGTGTAGCCACAGCCAAGGAATGCCAGGAGCCACCAGAAGCTGGAAGAGGCAGGGAGGGTCCCCCCGGAGCCTTCCAGAACGGCGGGAGCATACATTGCTATGGTTTGCAGCCATCAAGTGTTCCTGCCACCTCAGAAAGTGAATTACAGCCCTCAAGCCATTCCCTGGGCACAGAAGCAAGCAGCGTTGGCGGGCAGGGCCGTGGTGGGTGGGGCCATGACGGGCGGAATAATGATGGACGGGCCGTGGTGGGCGGGGCCGTGGTGGCAGTAGGAGCCTGAGCTGAGCCCCTACTCATCCCATCTCCCAAGGAGGCAGCAGGAAGATCAAAGCCCTAAGGAGCAGCTCAGTTTGGCCACACATGGACAAAAGAGAACCCTGATTGGAAATGTTCTTTTTTGCAATCTCTGCATACTTAGAAACCTCACTGAAGCAGAAACATCCGTTCATTCATCCACCTGAACAATATTTGCTGAACATCTACCGTCTGCCAAGCACTGCTAAGCACACCCCTTTGTACTCAGAGTTCCAAGTTCCACTTTCTCCTTGGTTTTCTAAAGGGCTGAATCGCCAAAAAAAATTAGTTGGGTGTGGCGGTGGGCACCTGTAGCCCCAGCTACTCAGGAGGCTGAGATGGGAGGACTGTCTGAGCCCACGAGATCGAGGCTGTGGTGAGCCACGATCATGCCGCTGCACTCTAGCCTGAGTGACGGGAGTGGGACCCCAACTCAAAAAAAAAGAAAAGAAAGAGGAGAGAGACCAAGCCTATTCTGTTGTGTACCCATGAAGTCGCCAAATCCCAAACTAAAAAAGGAAAAAATGGTCATCTGCGCAGAGGGGGAGTTCCAGTCCTCAGAAGGCCTCGTAACAACGCTTTTCTGCAAAATGTGTCCTGGAGGCCCCGAACTGGCGTGTTCAGCCCCTTCTCATCAGCATTAGGATAGCAACAGACTTGATCTGCCAGGCAGTGTGCATTTATCTCGCACAAGCCTCAGAACCACCCGATGAGGTCGGTACTGTCATTCCTCCATTCTACAGATGGGAAAGCAGAGGTCCCAGAAGGTTAAGTCGCTTGCCCCGGGTTGCACAGATTGGACCCAGGGCTGCAGGACTCCAGGTCCTGAGCTCTTCACCCTAAGCTTTCGTTATCTCTTAATAAACGCTCACTGGGGGAGTCGAGAGAAAGTCACTGGCTGCAAGGTTGTGGCTCCTATCCCACTCGCAGGCTCCTTCTTCTAAAAGAGCAGCCCAGGCACAGATGAGGAGCCTAATTACAAGCCAGGCCTCCAGCCCCTGTGTGGTCACGACCCTGCGGACCCCCGGAGTCAAAGGATGAAGAGCTTTGGAGCAAGGAATTCCTTCTGAGATGCTTCTAAATTAAGCCATCTGCAGTCTGTCTCCGCCTGGAGCTAAGAAATTGTAACGGCTTTGGCAGGAGACAGCTTTGCTGAATGGAGCTCTGAGTCACTCTAAGGTCAATGCAGGTAAATAAGAATCAAGTGCCACAGCCCGCCAGCAGCCTGGGAGCGGGACAGGCAGGACGGCTTTAGCCTGACGAAGGTGCACGTCCCGTCTGAATGGGGAGCACCGCGCAAATATAAATAGCACCGCACAAATCAGGACTGAGCCCGCGCGGGGCAGTGCCCTGGAAATACACCACAAGGGAGACAGGTCAGGCCTTGGGCCACATGAGCCCAGCAAGCTTTGTCATGGGAGGCGGTCATCATGCACTATGCCCATGATGACTTAATAACAATCGGACAAGCTGGGTGTGGTGGTTCACGCCTGTAATTCCAGCACTTTGGGAGGTGGAGGCAAGAGGATTGCCTAAACCCAAGGGTTTGAGATAAGCCTGGGCCACCTGGTGAAACCTTGTCTCTACAATAAATAAAAAAAAGATTAGCCGGGTGTGGTGGCGCACACCTGTGACTCCAGCTACTTGAAATGCTAAAGTGGCAGAAGGATCGCCTGAGCCCAGCAGGTTGAGGCTGCGGTGGCCGTGAGCGTGCCACTGCACTCCAGCCTGGGCAACAGAGTGAGACTCTGACTCAAAACAAAACAAAACAAAACAAAAAAACAACAAAAAAATAATAATTGGACAAGTATTATTTAATAAGAACTAATAATAAGACCTGGAAAATCAACCTCCGTTTGGGGGGTCAGGAAGGTGTCTCTAGGGAGAATGGAGGGAACCAGCTAGGGGGAAGAGAAAGGAACCGTGTCCCAGGCGGTAGGGATCAGCC